AAACAGCACCTCAGTTGATGCTCACACTGCTGAAGTGAACTGCCTCTCTTTCAATCCTTATAGTGAGTTCATCATTGCCACAGGATCAGACTGATAAGTAGGTCGTTTGTTTAAGTTTAATAGAAAACATGGGGTAGATTTTCCTGGTTCTTCTTGAATTGCAGATATTTAGTTAAGGATTTTTTTTCTTTTCTTGTGACAAAAAATTATTGATTGTCTTGCTTCCCTTTTTTATCATATGTAGACTGTGGCCTTGTGGAATCTAAGAATCTGGAAGCTTAAGTTGGCATTCCTTTTGAATCACATAAGGATGAAATGATTTTCCAGTAAGAGGAATGATATGACGTACTTATTGTGGGTTGGGAGTCAGGAGAACGCTGAATGTTGAGTAGACTACACTTGTGACTTTATCCATTATCAAAATAGAAGTTTTCTATGATATTCTGTGCTAATTTTCTGTGGAATTGATTGTTTTTCATTTCATTGTTTTCTATGTTTTCTCCAAATTGGTCATTGGCCCGTACATGTTTTCAGTATTTTAAAAATCTCGTTGACTTTTCCGGCAACTTGTAGACAAACAAAAAGAAAAAAATTTAAGATAGGATAGACTAGATAGATGATAGATTGATAATAGGATAGATAGATAGATAGATAGATAGATAGATGAAATAAAATACACTAAGAGGGAAATGATGAAATTCTACTGAGCCACTGGCATGGTGGCTCATGCCTGTAAATCACCCAGGCATTTGGAAGGCTGACGGGGGAGGATCAACTTGAGGCCAGGAGTTTGAAATAACGCAGGCACCAGGTAACACAGCAAGACTGGTTCGTCTACAACAAAGGAAAAAAGAATCCTCGTGCACTGATTATTTTTTTTTTTTTTTTTTTTTTTTGAGACAGAGTCTCGCTTTGTTGCCAGGCTAGAGTGAGTGCCATGGCGTCAGCCTAGCTCACAGCACCTCAAATCCTGGGCTCGAGCGATGCTTCTGCCTCAGCCTCTGGTAGCTGGATCTACAGGCATGTGCCACATGCCGGCTATTTTTTAGTATTATATATCAGTTGGCCAATTGATTTCTTGTACTTATATAGAGACAGGGGTCTCGCTCTTGCTCAGGCTGGTTTTGAACTCCTGACCTTGAGCAATCGCCCTGCTCAGCCTCCCAAGAGTCTAGGATTACAGGCGTGAGACCACAGCGCCCGCTTGATTTTTTTCAGCCTTGTCCGTCACTCATTCGTTTCTCATTTTCTAGTCATTCATCCTTTATTGCCTTGCCACATCTATTGATTCTTGTTAGTACAAGCCAAACTACAGGCTCTGATGTTTTCTGCTCATCAGTTTAAACTTCTTTTAACATGCAAAACCCATCGACGTCGGTTGGAAAAACTAGTTCTACACTGTGTTCAAAGGCTCATTGCTTAGTGCATCATGAGAGATTACATTGCTGGTCTTTGGTCAAAGAACTTACAATTTTATAGTGCAGAAAGGCTTATTATAATTATTAAATAAAGATTTTCTCAAGTGTTAATGCACCTGCAGGGTTAAAGATTAATTCTGGGTGTAAATGCATCTGAACTGGGCTTTAGGTGAGCTATACTCTCACACATAGGTCTCTTTTTTCTATTTCCAGCCAGTCCAGTGGAACATTTGTCTTCACCTGTCCTGTCTCTTTGTCTTGCTTGTGATGGTGTCCGCGTGAGAGAGTATTTAAATTCTTCCCATATGCTGGTTACTTAACTCTCTTCTCGTGCACCATGAGGCTGCACTTTATAGCATGTTGGTAACAGTATATCATGATTATTGATATATAGTAGTTTTGTCTAGCCTCTTAATTAATAAGATTATTGTTGCAGAGGAGTATTTTCATATTAACCTCTATCTGATACAGAATTTAAAGTAAATACTTTAGAATAAGTTATTTGTGGGGTTATCTGTACTTATTTCTTAGTCCAGGAATTAGATTACCTTTGGCTAGAGGCCAGATTAGACATAAGAAGAGGTAGGATGTTAATTTTCAACAAAAATACAAAATGAAGCCAGGTGTGGTGGCATGTGACTATAATCCCAGGCTTAACTCCTGAAGCTGACCGGCCGTGGGTGGTCGCAAGTGCCTTTGAGCCATGGGATTCCATAGTACAGCCTGGGAACATAAGTGAGACTCAGTCCAATCCACACACACACTGCTCTCTTGTGTATGAAATTGTTCGGTATCATTTTAGGTATTATTTCCTTTGTTTTCTTGATTTATAGCTTTTCTGTTCCTTCATTCTTATGTGTAGGTTCAGTGGGTACCTCACAATGAGACTATTTTGGCTTGCTAGTGGTCTGATCGGAGACTGAATGCTGGTGTGACTGTTAAGGGTAACTCTTAATTAGTTACTTTCCATGGAATTTTTCCTTGACCTTTGTAAAGGGTAGTTACTAAGGGTAAAATCTCTTTGTAACTTCAAATGATTTTTTAGTATGCTAGTAAAATTGGGAGGAACAATCCCCAAGAAGAGCAGAAGACTGTGGCCACAGAGTTGTTGGTATGTTACAAGCATTGAGCAGTATTGAAACAGTCTGTAATGTCCTTTTATCTGCATTTGCATATCTTTGTGTCCTTCCCTCTTTCAGTTTATATTGCGAGTGGTGGTCACACTGCCAAGATATCTGATTTCTGGAATCCCACGAAACTTGGTGATTTGTTCTTGTATCAAAATGGGTATATCAGCTAAGTGTGGAGGAGGTAAAGTGTTTGTCTTTCCTTTGGCGGGTTAGATAGGAATGTGACTCGTATATTTATGTTGTATATTCATGAAGTACAGGAATACAGGCTTCATCTCCGTTGCACTTTGCTGTCAGGTGTGACTTTAGTGCATTCTGCCACAGTGAATCTTTTCATACTTGTGGCTCTTTACCTTTATCTGTCTTTGTCAACTGGTATAAAACTACGCTAGTGTGCCCGGGCTCGTGGCTCATGCCTGTACTTCTGCCATCGTCTGTGAGAGCCGAGGCAGCCGATGCTCGAGGATCAGGGGTCAGGAGGTCAAATATATACATACGTCAGCTAAAAAACTCTCTGTATCTCTCCCTATCTCTCTCCTCTTCTCAAACCCTTCCTGCTCCTGACTTGCCTTTTGCTACTTATGTGCTCTAGTGAGCTTTTTGCCACGCTGCCATACTTGAAAATTCAAGAGTTCATCTTTCTCTCATTTTTACAGATGCAAACATACATTTACCCAAAGGACGTAAGGTATCAAATCACAGCATCGAAATACTACTGATTTATCGCATGCGCTATAGTCCGACGGATGGTCTGAGGCTGAGGATTAACTTTGAGCGTAAGAGTTTGGAGCTTGCAGTAAGCCATGAGGACGACCATGCACTCAAGCCAGGGCAACCGAGTGAGAGACCCTGTTGCAAAAAAGAAAAGAAAAGACTACCATTTCTCCATGACACTTATCTAGATAACAAACTACCTCTATTCTAGTTTGCCTACCTCTATTCTAGTTTAAGGTTGATAGCCTTCTTTGAATATTCAGAACACTTAGAAATTAATAAAAATAACTGATATATAATGTGATACTAATAGAAAGAATAGTTGTGTTCTCAAGTGATGGTTATAGTTACACAACAAATGTGAGTATACTTAATACCCTGAATTGCACATCTAAAATGGCTGGGATGGGCTGGGCGTGGTGCTCACTCTTGTAATCCTAGCACTCTGGAAGCTGAGACGGGCGGATGCGCAAGGTTCGAGTTCCAAACCACATGAGCAAGAGCGAGACCCCATCTCTACTATAAATAAGAAAGAAATTAATTGGCCAACTAATATATATATAAAAAAATTAGCCGGGCATGGTGGCGCGTGCCTGTAATCCCAGCTACTTGGGAGGCTGAGGCGGAGGATCGCTTGAGCGCAGGAGTTTGAGGTGGCTGTGAGCTAGGCTGACGCCATGGCACTCACTCAAGCCTGTGGCAACAAAGCGAACTCTTTCTCAAAAAATAAATAAATAAATGGCTGGGTAAGTTTTATATTATGTGTATATTACCACTATCTTTTTTTTAATAATTGCATAACTTCTGAATGGTGCTAGTCTGATAAATGAAAATGAATCAGTAGAAATTTTTGTTGGCCTCAGGGGACTTGCTGACATCTTCCTGACCTTATTCCTCAGGCATAAATCCTAGGCAGAGGCAATTTACAGAATGCATCCCTGCCTGATTTTGGCAGAATGAGAAACAGTAATCTTAGGGCTTCCAAGGGTTTCCTGGGCATAGCATCTTCCAATTTATAACTTTTGAACAAATTCAATCTTTTTGTGTAAAGAAAAAAGTATGCAGGAAATTAACAACTATGATAGTCATCTCACTAATAAAGCATCTATTTGCATATATTAAGGGGTGCTAAGTAGAGGTATCTCTGACTTCAAGGAGCTTCAGATACAGAAACTTTTCCTGCAGACTAACAACCTAATTATCTTCTAAGCATGGACTTCTGTTGTACAACTTTTCTAGAATTCTAGCCAATATTTTAAGAATAATCGCTTCCATAAAGACTTGGTTTCTTTAAACTTAAATTGTTGAACTTATTACTACTATATTATAAAAACTACCATTCTCTTGGTGGAAGCATGCATATGGAAGAAGTGTATGAAATTCTCAGGTCACCAACTGAAGGACCAAAATCCTCCCCAACAGCACTAAGTTAAGACTGTGAAACTGAAACCTCCCTCTGAGTACCCACTCACCCTCTTAGGATTCTATTAAGGAAGCTGTGGTTAACAGATAAGACTCCTTTTATGTCACCATTTTCAAAAGCATTGTTACTTTTTTGTTCAAGATATAACCTTTTAGTTAAGTATCAGTTTCCTAACCTATGATAAAAGATATTGCCAGTCTCAATACTGTTACATAGATTAAACAATGTATAAAAAAGTGCTTTAGAAACTATAATGGACAATGTCAGATATTTATTGTTTGGCTCATTAGAAATGTTCTTGCCCGTCTCATCCAGGAACAGCTGGAGGAAATGGAAGAACGAAAGAGGCAGTTAAGAAGTGGGGTGCAACTCCAGCAACAGAAGAATAAAGAGATGGAGCAGCTAAGGATCAGTCTTGCTGAAGAGCTCTCAACCTATAAGTCAGTTTTTGCCCCTACCCAAATCTCATCTAACACTGGCTGAGATGATGGTGGGGAGGGCTCAGAGAAAATTTCACTTAAACAGTAAAAAACTAAAAAGATTTGGGAAATTATTTTCAAATTGTGCTCATCCACGAGCAGATGGAAAATGGCTCTCTTTTTTTAAAGGGCTATGCTACCCAAGAGCCTGGAACAGGCCGATGCTCCCACTCCTCAGGCAGGTGGAATCGAGACACAGTCTCAAGGTGATCTTTGTGGGAGAGTGGTGCTTGCATCGTCACTGCTTTCCTAACTTAATACTAATTAATGCCTTTTTTTAAAAAAAACAAAACTTAAGTGTGTATCTAATGACAAGTCACAATCAACACATCTATCCATAGTTTCCTTATGGAATATTCAAAGGCTGTGGTTTGGGGTAGAAGCAAGGAAGCTGTTCCTATTTCACACAGACTTTTAGCGCCTAGCAAACTAAAGGCATCTTTCTGAGCAATGAACTCTTCAGGATCCCTTCTCCAATGTTTTACCAACATGTTCTCGTATACTTTATAAAGTCCCTTGTATTATTCCCTTAAAGAAACTAAGGATAAAAGAAAGGATTTGTCAAGTTGTGTATTATATAGATGCTCATAAATTTTAGTCTTCATTTCCTAAACTTAAGTCTTGGATACAAACTCACAAATAACTATTTTAACTGATGCTTTTTTTAACTTTCTAGGATTTTCTTATATTCAAGTGTAACTGACTATATTTAATCTTTGAGAGATTACTATAACCTTGTGACTGAGGACAGTGATCTGCTAATTCCTGTGTGTGGATCAGATTAAAAGTACAATAGGGAAAAGACAATAAGAAAAATTTTAACTATCCCCTTTCAACACTATCATATAGATTATTATTCATTCTGTTTTACAAATAGGAGGCACCCAAATATTTGCTGGGGAAAAGTCATCCCTGATCATATATAAATCACACTGTAGCAATCTCTCTTCAACACAGTCTGTACTAACTAAACCTCAGAAGTTCATTGTTATAAACTTTCTACTGTATTATTTCAAGTTGCAGAAAGTATAAACTTATTCTTTCTTTTTCTCAACCCTACAGGGGCTGTTTAGAAATATATGGCCAAATCTGTAACCCAGAAACAACAAAAAAAAACTTAGCAAAGGATCCCTAAGTGCCCTTTGGACATACTTTCTTCCAGACAAAGGAGTGCCAGAGACTTGGCAAGCAATTCATCCTGTGAAAGTTGCAGATACTGGCTGACTTGCTTAAACAGATTCTGGAGTTGGCTGGAGGCAGAACACCAGTCAACGCTAGCTGGATTCTATTTCATATGCTGCTGGTACTGATTCCAATGCACTGAGGAAAGGAAAAATGAGCCTCCTGTCTTCCAGCAGCAATCTTCACATACATGCTGAGTAAAAAATGAATGTATGGACATATTCTGCAGTATTATGAAAAATGTATCTTGCCTTCTTATGACCTGAACATTTTTTGGGGAGGGGAGGAGGGGTCAAAAAGGCAGCCAGTTTTCATTACATGGATTTACAATTTGAATTATTTTGTGCCATGAGTGCTAGATTTTAAATGAATCCTTTTACAAAATTTTTTTTCTTTCTTTTGAGAGGAGAGAGATAGGCTGAAGGCAGAAGGATTGTTTGAGCCAGGAGTTTGAGGTTGCTGTGAGCTAGGCTGATGCCACGGCACTCACTCTAGCCTGGGCAACAAAGTGAGACTGTCTCAAAAGAAAAAAAAAAGAAGTAGCGTTCAGCCTGAGCAAGAGCAAGACCCCATCTCTACTAAAAATAGAAAGAAATTAAATGGACAACTGAAAACATAGAAAAAATTAGCAAGGCATGGTGGTGCATTCCTGTAGTCTCAGCTACTTCAAAGGCTGAGGCAGGAGGATTTCTTGAGCCCAGGAGTTTAAGGTTGCTGTGAGCTAGGCTGACGCCATGGCACTCTAGCCTAGGCAACAAGAGTGAGACTCTGTCTCAAAAAAATGTAAAGAAAGAAGTGCAGTGTTCATGTTTACTAAATACTCTGTTCTCTTTTTCTTATTTTTGGACAGGCAGAGAACATTTATAATGAGGAAGACCCTGAAGGAAGCGTGGATCCAGAGGACAAGCCCTAGATATGTCTGCATTTCTTGTGATTTTTAGGCTCCCCTTTTTTTCCTTTCAACCCTGATATTGATTAACACTGGTTTTGAGACACACAGATTGTGTTGGCTATCCCTTCTATAATAGGTGGCCACCAACAATGCTATTAGCCCAAACAGTTGGTGTTTTCTAAATATTAACTGGGGACTTGATTCAGCAAAGCCACAGGCTCAAATTTTCTTCAGGAATTTCTAGTACAAACCCAAGGTCTATAAGTAGTCACAGAAAGGGAGTATTATGTGTGATTATTTTTCTTCTTATGCTATATCCCATGTTTTTCAGACTCATTTAAGTAATGGCTAGAGTGAGTAAGGAATAGAGCCAAATGAGGTAGGTGTCTGAGCCATGAAGTATAAATATTGCAGGTTTCATTTTTATTCAGGAAATAGGGAGATTCAAGTCATAGATTCTACTCTAGAATCTTCACATCTGAACTTTCCAGGATGCACATTTTCCTATGTAGACCAGTCTCAGTTTTTCAGTTAAGTCAAAACTACACGTTCCTCTTTCCCCATATATTTTTGCTCATTAGTGTATTTCTGAGCTGTTTTTCATATTGTTTCTTTCCTTTCTGTGAAATGGTTTTTGTTTTGTTTTTTAAACTTGGGACCACCAAGTTGTAAAGATGTATGTTTTACTGACAGTTACCACAGGTAGACTGTCAAGTTGAGAAGAGTGAATCAATAACTTGTATTTTTTTAAAATTAAATTAATCCTTGATAAGAGTTGCTTTTTTTTTAGGAGTTAGTCTTTGACCACTAGTTTATGCATCTCCATTTTGGGTGACCTGTTTCACCAGCAGGCCTGTTACTCTCCATGACTAACTGTGTAAGTGCTTAAAATGGAATAAATTGCTTTTCTACATAACCCCATGCCGGTGGGTTTTATTTAGTATATAACATCCATCAAACACCAGTCTGGCTTGAAAGAGCTGAAATTACAGTTATTTTCCATGGTCTTTGTGAGAAGCAGAATTAAATATAATAGACCCAGAGCTATAGAAAAGAGCTTTACTCCTTCCCAGGGAAAGTGAAAGACATAAAACATTGAATCAGAGGTGGCATGGATTAGTCTTTTATAAATAACATGTTTTTGAAGTCTATCCCTAGAGAACTACATGGATTTTTCAAATGTGTCAAAGCAGTGTGGTAGAGAGAATTTAAGGCAAAATTTAAATTTGGAAAAGGTGCTTGAACCTTTTCTCAGAGAGGTTGAATCTTCCCAGTATGTTTTTCACTGGGCCTGTACTTAAAGGTTAGAAATAATAGGCCTTGAAAGCCTTTATCACCAAGTGCCATAACCAGATAAAATGCCTGGTTCTTTCCAAACACTTGGTTTGTGTTTGGGGGCTTTTTTTTTTTTTTTTTTTTTTTTTTGAGACAGAGTCTCACTCTGTTGCCCAGGCTAGAGTGAGTGCCGTGGCGTTAGCCTGGCTCACAGCACCTCAATCTCCGGGGCTCAGCGATCCTCCTGCCTCAGCCTCCCGAGTAGCTGGGACTACAGGCATGCACCACCATGCCCGGCTAATTTTTTTTGTATATATATTTTTAGTTGGTCAATTAATTTATTTCTATTTTGGGTGAGAGACGGGGTCTCGCTCAGGCTGGTTTCGAACTCCTGACCTTGAGCAATCCGCCGCCTCGGCCTCCCAAAGTGCTAGGATTACAAGCATGAGCCACCGCGCCCGGCCTTGGGGGCTTTTTTAACCAAGTAGATCAGTCTGACCCAAAATCACTTCCATGAGGTAAGATCTTTGGGGCAAATCTGAATAATAGCCTTAACCATTAGGTTCAAATCTGGATTGGTTCCTTATCTCCAAGTCTAGTAGAGTATTAGAAAAAATTATCTGGACACAATTTGAAGATATACTGGAGTCAGCATGGCCTTTAAGAAAAATAAATTTTGGGCTGGGCGCAGTGGCTCATGCCTGTAATCCTAGCACTTTGGGAGGCTGAGGCAGGCGGATTGCTCGAGGTCAGGAGTTCGAAACCAGCCTGAGCAAGAGTGAGACCCCCATCTCTACTATAATTAGAAAGAAATCAATTGGCCAACTAATATATAGAGAAAAAATTAGCCAGGCATGTTGGCACATGCCTGTAGTCCCAGCTACTTGGGAGGCTGAGGCAGTAGGATTGCTTGAGCCCAGGAGTTTGAGGTTGCTATGAGCTAGGCTGACGCCACGGCACTCACTCTAGCCTGGGCAACAAAGTGAGACTGTCTC